ATCGAACAAAAGTAATTATAGGTATAATTAACTTTTAATGTGATACACTGTTTTACAGCATCGATTAATGGATTACAATTTACAGTTCATGTTCTAAGTTACTGTATTGAAGTAAATTTTAATTCAGATCATTGTACTTTTACAGTGTGACTTGCCACATATTCAAGACACACAGTAATTCATTCCAGTGAGTAGCACCGTGTTTTATAAGCAAACTTACTAAAAGTAATAGGCAACCATATTTCTGAAGTTTTATTTTCATAGAACTGATTAGCTTATTACAATATTCAAGATTTTTCACTTAAGTCAGTCGGTAAAGATTATCTATTAATAATGATTCGAAAACTGAATAGAATCACCTAAATCTATAAATCTAGGGAAACTATATTGTTCCACGCTATTGTATACAATTTGTTGATGGAATTTTCTAAGTGATGAATTGAAAAAGGATACACTTGTTCGTACATACTTTATACTGTATGCACTGTTATGCATAATTTCTATTTTGAATGCAACTTATTATTTTACCACAAACGGGTATAAATCGAAATTAGTACTAGAGTTGTTGTTCCCTCATTTACTAGCAAGTTGTAATTGCAGTCTTAAGATAATCGATGTTTCCTTTGGGGTCATAAATTATTTTATAGAGTTCTTTCGATATCCAGAAATAAAATAAAACATGATATCAATCAATTGATACTCGGTGACCGATTATTGTGAATATCTTCGTCTTACACGAAATCTTGCGCGGTCCTTGTAGCTTACTGGTTAGCTCTTTAACTATGATCATGAACGACTCAGTTCAATTCACCACCGAATCATGGAGTTCTTCGAAATTATAAGTAAGCATTAACTAAAGAGTCAAGTCCATCACGAAACTTAAGTTTAGTACTTCCTATTGGTTGCTTACAATCACTTGAAACATGAAAGCACACTATACAGGCACTATTTTGTCAACATGGTTTTAACCTGTTAATAATATATCAAGTTCACTGCATGGCTTAGGTTAATAACAATATGTGTGGAAAATCAGCTTCGAATATTCATAGTTAAAGTTTATTTCCTGAATTCACACCATAATTACACTTTAGTAGCAAAATGCTTTGGAAACAGAATAGTATGAAATATAAACAACTGACTAGGCGTTTGTCACTCATATTTTAAGTGATACTGATAAAATGAAAACCACTTATTACAAATAGTAAATATTGTTGTAATATCCGGTACTGAATAACTGTTAATACTTATAATGCAATACATTAGCTAGGATTGAATATTCATAACGACCTAATATATCATTATAACAGATAAGGTACAAGTTGGTATGGCTGTTTGATATGCATCTCGATTTGGCTAACAGGCAATAAGGTTGAAGGCTGTCTTCAGTAGCGTACCAGAATCGATTCGGATTTTAGTTCTTGCCTCTAGCTGCAGTCTACTCACTGGTTGTATGTAAAGAGCTCAAGGCACATCTATAACTGTTGATCTTACTACTAATAAGTTTATACATGCTTCTGTTTTAAACTCTGATGTAATAGGCATTACAGTAGACTTAAACTATTTTGGAATTGAGAAGAATTCTTAGCAACACTCAAATATTGGTCATAACGAGTTCATACTCCACCTAGAAGTGATAACATTATCAAATTAGTTTGATTTCAAGATATTGTTCCTATTTTCGTACATGCAGTGATAAGAAAATAGTTGTCTATGCTATTCCCACTAATAACAGTTTTACTATAGTCTCATAGGTATACTAGACATACTCTTGTGCGTAGATTTCAATGCACCTGTGAAACCTACAGGACCATTAATCTCAGTGGTTTATTCATACTGGTTAAGTGTCTCAATAAAATAAGATCCTTGTAGAAAAGTAACTGTAAGTTGCATGATTTCTCTCTAGTATCACAAATAACCATAACTTTTAATTAAATTAAGGAAACGTATAGTGGCTAATCAAGAGTTTTCAGCACATAACACTGGTTCAAAAATATAAAATTTAGTTATATTCAATAAAACTAGATCTTTCATAAGTTGTTACCTTGGCTTTTGTAACTTAGTCTCTACTGAACATATGCTTAGGCGTCTGGTCTCTGTGGTATACGTTTGACATTTCCAGACTAGTCGACACGACTAATCATCATCCTTGCAGGTAAACTCATATCAAATGGGACGGTGATTCCTTGCCAGGGTACCTTAGTTTTTTGTCAGTCATTGATATCAAACAGTTAAGAAACTCTGTCTTATCAGATTTCCTTTTGATGACAAGTGACAAGGTAGTGCTTTGAGGTCTCTGATCTTTATAGCTTATGTAAATGATGTCTCCAACTGTTTCAGCATGGTTAAACGTTTTCTGTATGCAGATTATCGTGAGGCTAGCCATATGGAAAATCATATTAGTATGAAGCTAAATAAAGTCACTGTTTTTGTTCTCAAAATGGGATTCAGAAATTTGCGCAGTTATAAGTGAATCGGTTTGCAATCAAGTTCCATTTATCAGATCCGAATTCAGCAGCAATGGTAAAGTGCTATCTAAATTTCATACAATGTTAGACTCAGCATTCAAGTATTCATACATTCTATCTCTCTCAGAAGTGATCTGAATGCAGATTTACTAGTCTCAGTTACTTTTGTGTTGTACTCTAGGTAACTTCTTTAACAATTACTTACGTAGTTATATTGTAGATATCATGCCAGAAGTCATCTTCCAATTTAACTAATCAGTGAAAAGCAAAACATTCTGTGTGATTGCAACTGAATTTAAGTCTTACCATCGTCACTGTTATTGTCTTTCAACTGTTGTGATGAATTAACTACTAATTCAATGTTTCTTTGTATCCTCATCATCTTCGAAATCAAAGGCATTTACATGTATTTTCTTTTGGATCGTACTGTTTACTAATAAGTAGTAGCATAGACTTCATGGTGTTGACTACAATATAATGAATTTACTTCAGGTTAAAAATAGTTCTGAACCTGATCTGTCTTCGTGTTTACTTTATTTTCTGTAAAATTTACTCAGATGTAATACGTGATAAATAATAACTTATCAATCATTGAATTAATCTTACTTTCGTTTGATGCGTCCATGTGAACGTGATTCTCAGAATTTAACGCTTTGTTTCATTGATCGACGAACTACACATAATTGAAAGAAGAATCATTTTAACGAAACAAATTATTATGAACATACTTTACTCCAACCATTATTATAGTTTTTAGTAATCGATGAGATTTCAAATAATCATAACCCAACCTAAAGTTCACTTGATTTTATCCTGAATAGTTCTTGCGTGCCAGGACTATCGATAGCCCAAATTTCTTGAACATTATATAAGAACTGGATTAGAAGAAAGCACTTGACTAATAGTTTTAACTTTATACTGACTACTGTACTTCTGTTTTATTAAACTCGAAGAAATTTGTATAACTACTGAAAATAATAAATTTGACTAAAACATATAATTAATAAAGTACATATTGGACTGACAATGAAATAGGATTTCAAGTAGAATAGTGAATTCTGATATACTTAAAAAAGTATTTCAAAACTAAACGAAATGATTCTTTACTATTAAAGTAAATAAACACCAATGGCTAATTTCATTTTTTTTATTTTGTTAACAAGCAAAATGAGTACAGTTAATTTTGGAAATTGACATATTACATATTACTCAAAAGATGTTTTCATAAAGCCTCATGATTTCATTATTTTCACATTTACAATCTCCATAGTGTTAACAGTAATTCATGCTTTGATCTGAGCACCCAGGCAATATCACAATGCACACACAAATCAAGTGACTTGTATGGCACATATGTATTCATTGCTCCTTTGTATCAATATTAATGTGTTCAAATAAATAAATAAAAGAAATCAATGAACTACAATTCTTGATAATGAATGAATTTCACTGTTATATTAACAATTTATTTGTGCTTAGCAAAATGATCATGAACTTTGATAAGCATTACAATAATTTGTTACGTTTAATGGATTCTAACACATATTTTCATATTTTCAAATATTACACAATTTTTTCACTTTAATTACAATTGGATTTCATGTGTGCTATGTTTGAAGCGATTAAGATGTAGCGGTAAATAAATCCCCAAAATAAATAGCTCTTTAAGTCTTCAATATTGGATGCTGACCACATTAGTTTTAATGGGCTCACCTAGCTAAAGGCGCTCGGTCATGCATCCTTACGAAATCACGAGTGGGAACGCCGTGCTCAACATCCCCTGCAATCGCTAGCCAGATTAGATCACACGGTCCTCAATATATTGATAGTCTATCAAATATATTTTTGAACCTCCTCGCTTCTGGCTTTTGACTTCACTAGTAGGGTGCGATTCATATTAAGTGTTACTGGTTAAAGCGTACTTGATATTTCACCACGACTCAACAGACACTCAAGGTACTTAAGATAAAGACTATATCCCCACCTTCATTTCAATTAATGCCTATCTGACCAGACAATATCGAAGCCCAGTTCTGCTACGCAGAGGCAGACTTCTACGAGCACGGCATGAACGACACACATGCACAATTCCTCGCAGTAGTCAGGGCACTACCGCACGAATTCAACAGGTACGTAACACCCAGTATGTTTACTAGTGATGTTTCTGAACTTTGTGAAACACTTAAACGATCTATCGTTAAACGTGAAGACCTAACCGATCGACAAAGGTTAGACAAATTCCTTGATAATATTGACCTGCAACACGGTTCTGTGCAGACATGTTGCAAAGAATCGGATAGTTTATCGACCAAAGAACTTTCGATGATGGCCTACTCAAACAACATTTCTTATCTAAACTTGCTCAACAGGTGCAAGCTGTGCTTGTCTCGTTTCAAAACAACGCCGTAGACGAGCTGGCTGCATCTGCCGACCGCATTTTAGAAATCACGAAATCCCCTGGTGCCGAGATTTCTTCAGTCAAAGAAAGTCGTCGAACGACACAGGATGATATAACGACCGCAAACGGTCTCATACCACTCGAAGAAGCACTTCACGTAAGCGATGTATCTCTAAACCACGAGACCGATAACTCCGACTGGTGCTGATATCATAACCAGTATGGAAAATCTTTCAAAAATTGCAGAAAACCTTGTTTGCGAACGGAACTAAAACTCTGTATCGAAAGACCAGTAAGCTAGATATTTCCGATACATTCGGTCCCCACTAACTAGAGAGAAGTCCAAGTTTGGAACGGGGAAGTATATTCCGCAATTATCCAAAAGCACGAGCGATACCAACCAGTCTAGTCGGAAATACACTCGTTTATATATTGGTTTGTACACCCATTTCCGATAATAATCAGAATAAATCACATATATGAAAAATAATTCATACAAGAATGTGGCATGTTAGACAGAATAAAATGTTATAGGGGTAAACGGTACAAATAGTATACTGAGTGATTGTCAAAGAGAATTAATGTTAAATAAAAATCATAATGAATAAATCAATCAAATTTTGTCCTTTCATTCCATGTTATCATTAAGCTAATTTAGAGTAATTTCAAAAAATACAATCAAATAAATGAAAGTAGTCATTTTTGGTTCAAAGCTTTTCAGAATGATAAAACAGATACATGAGCATATCATCTCATGAATATACAATAATGTATAAGGGACGTTGACAACTTTCATCATTCTTAATTTTTTTTTTAAAAACAACCAGTAATTGTTATTTTTTTTCTTTTTAGATTCTCACGTTCATGTTTTTGTATTTCGCCAGGAATGGAAGTGAACTAAAATTGATTTTCAATATAAAACAAAATGATTCAATCAAGTTAAAACATTGAAACTTTATGAGGTATTCAAAAGTTAGTACATTTATATTCACTTGTTATTGTTTTGCTTGTATCTTCCCATTGAGGTTTAAGACTGCAATTGATCAGTCTGTAGCTGAGTGGATAACGCGATGGTGTTTGAAGCGAATGGTACTGTGTTTGAGTCCCACAGTGAACATCAACTCTGAGATGCAGGTACATCCAGCTGACGAGTCTCAAATAGGATGAAATGCGCGTCTTGGATTCCACTGCTAACCACTATCCATCTTTGTTGAGTACATTTATATTTGATTTTATTGCTGTAGCCATCGTAAGTACATCTTGGATGTGTATATTCTCAAAACATTTACATGTACTAATGCTTTTATAAGTCAAGAGCATTATCTATGATTTTGGTTATTAATGGAATTCAGGATGCTTGTTTCGATCTATCTGCAACTTGTCAGTTAAATGTAACGCTTTTCTGATATTAATATTCAATCCCCGCTCCCATCGTTTCAAATGTTAATTTAGCATCCATTATTCTGATGAGACGAAAAGTCGTGTAATTGATAGAACTATCTGTTACCGAGTTTAATGCTAGTCTGTAAAAATATTTTATCAACAACTCATATGTAACCTAAATTTTGGAATGTTTCTCAAAATTTGGTTAGATGTTTTTGAAAAAGATACAAATGCAAGATTTCTGTACACTTATAAATACTTCCTTCTCAATAAACAGTAGTAGCCTCTACAACTCTATAAAATTGAAAGTCTCATGATCAGGTAAAAGAAAAAGTTTACATTTTTGTGAGCCTTATGATTACAATTTATTTATCAGCAATCATTTACTTAAAGATTAATTTTCACATGCTTCAATATACTTCAAATCAACACATTAGTAATCTCTAAAATACAACGATTTGATTATGAATAAATCTGTCAACATGTCTTCGATATGATACATATAATTTCAAAGCTTCCCTAAACAACTAATTGGACATGTCCTCGAGTAATTTTCGGCTGATTTTCATCTTATGCAATTTTTTATTAAAAGAACATGTTTGAAGCTTATCTTGTTTGTAAGCCTTTTCCAGTCTTTACACGAGAAATTTACTTAAACGGAACCATTAAATGTCAGTTTGTTAGCTACTCATCATTGAATTATTATTTAAATTTACCATGAGGCGAATATAGAAATGTAACATCAACTAATTATACAATAAAGGATATAAATAAAGTATTCTGAAAGTTCCAACTTTCCTAATATTCATCCCATTTTAAAGCTTGGGGAGAATGGTGATATATGTTTGTGGCAGTCTCATAGTTTTAACATGAGTTTCATAGTTGCTAAATTATGGTTCTTGAATGTAGTATTATTTCACCAATTAAAGTTTATTACGGTTTGTAATACCTTTATGACAATGATTTGACTCATCAATAACATTGACTGTAGTCGCTTAATCAACCATCAAATAGTTTATTCCTTCTAATACGAAATCCAATTAGATCGATCACAGGAATATGTAAACATCAAAATCTAATTTCTTTCACCCTGATTAGAACTAGCAACTAAAATGAAGAACTAGTAATATCTCATAATAACCAATATATTTCAGTGTATAACTGTACCACTTTCTAATAATATACCGAGTACTGATGTTTATTAAAATATAATATAACTAATCAAACAGTTAGTCTACTAGGACACTGTATAAAGTTTTCTCAAGATGTATGTCCTTTAAATTCAAAATTTCTATGTTTAAGACCATGAAGTGTAAAATAAGTTTTTGTTACTATCATGGTTACTCTACTTAATCAAAAATATGTTAAAAAAATAGAAATCGAAGTTTTACTTACATTGCTGCACATATTGAAACAAATAACATTGATGCGCATACAAGAAAGACAGCACCAGGAAAGTGTGAAAGAGTAGCTGAATAAACCAAAGGTAAAGCGCTTACACTGATTAATAGACCGATTCTTGATATGAAGGAAGCGAATGAAAGAATCAAACCTTCAAAGGATAATAAATAAGATAATTAGTGACTGTTAAAATCATGGATCAACAATTTTTCCGGTTTGAAAGCACTGTATACGTTGACCAGATTTCACATAATGTTTCCGTTGAAGTGAATATTTCAGTGAGACTACAACTTGTGGACAAACCAATTAGATTTAGGATAACAGGTCTCGGATTTCGGAGCGAAATTCATTCATCCATTCGGATAAACAGCGTTTCGGCATTTTAGCTGATGTCAGTTCGTGATGAAAAACATTAAATATAATTCCTAACCCTACCCATTAAATGTTAATCATAATCCTTATACTTCACACAACTTTATAACCCTCATTAAACCTAATGAGTAGGTGGACATTCTCAAGGTCACTTTAGCGTCGCTCAAAGACCCTCCATAAATTATAGTCTCACCATTATCTCCCATGACACTTGAAAAGTAATAACATGATAGCAATCTGATCAAGTTTATGTTCGTTATGAAATCATCAAGTCAGAGATAATTTTTCCTATTCTCTATAATTATTTCTCATAATTCTTATTTATCATATCCATGATCACATCACTCACTAGCCTTATCTCTGTTTCCAGGTTATTAAAATATGTACTTTAATTAGCTGCGGTAGGTTTAGACTTCTAAACTCAACACTAACTATTTCATATCCATTAGGTGTTTATAAGTAAATGACTGTGACCAGTGGAGCTAATCAGTGTCGGGTAGAGACAGGTATCTACCTCAGTACAATTGAAAGATGATCATGAAATTTTGTGGATTGCCTGAGGTTAGACATTAACACCGTTGGATCCCAGCCGATTCAGTGGTCTATAAGTTAAGTGTTCGCGCGTGAGACTGATAGTCCCGGGTTCGAATCCCGTGAGCGGGATCGTGAATACGCACTGCTGAGGAGTCCCATAGTAGGACGAAACAGCCTTTCAGTGCTTCCAGGTTTTCAGTGGTGGTCTAACATCAATCGGTTCATTATCTCAATCAAAATGATAGGACATCGAATTGGTTTCCTATTACCATCATTCACAGAAAATTCACTGAGTTGCATTTTTTTCGAAATAGAAAATGATATCGCTTAGTGATCTTCTATAGTTGTAGTATAAAGTTTTGTTTTGTTGTTTTTTAGAATTCAGTATGAATTTCTGGGTTTCATAAAAAAATGTATCAAAAAAGTTAATTGGTATCATTATATATTATGAAGGTAGAGAACATATTTGTGATTTTTAGGAAAACTGCATAAATATTAAAAGACCTATAGCTGACTGTAGTTTTGTTGAATTATTTGATCCACAGTTGTTTACTATTGTTATAAAATGTATCATGACAATAGGAATCTTGAATATTACTCTTCAAAGTTTTATATTGTCTATATCTGTTATTTATAATGTTTGGTAACAAATATTATCGAAAACATATTAATCATCTTAAAATTATGCATAAAGATTTAACTTGCCTGTTCGCTGAGTCCCACTCCAATTGGTGATCAGTGTACGCAATAAAGGAAAATTAATATTCTTCGCTAGTTTCGGAACTAAGCCTGTAAATGTAATAATACATAAGATATTTACCATGATTTCACAATTATATAGCTGGTAATAAACCTTCCCTATACAGCTACTAACTAAATTTTCATAAAACTGTTAAGTGTTTATGAATCGTTTCATCAAATAATCTGAGCAGTGTTAATCAAGATCATCAATCGATCGATGTTAGACCACCGTTGAAAACGTGGAAGCACTGGACGGCTGTTTAGTTCTAGTATGGGACTCTTCAGTAATGGTGATCTAACATTGATCGATTCATGATCTCAATCAAAAAGAAAACAATTTCCATAACTTCATACTGATAAGCATAATTATTATTTTTTAAATTTTCAATGAGAATATAACTTGTATTTAATACAAATACAAGGATTTACTTATTTCGTCACTTAACATAAATTGCTTTTATTCCTACAATGATTTCGTTAATAAGTTGTCTTTCAGATACTCTAAAATTCATTTAATCCTGCTAAAAGTAGGTAGATCACAGCACTCAGCTATCACTTCGACTGTATAAGTTGTTAAATATCAAAATACTATCACTGAGATCCTGAACTTCCTAGGACGAAATGGCTGTCCATTGCTTTCAAGCTTTGATAATGGTCTGGCTTAGATCGGTTCGGGATTTTACTTATTTACTTACGCCTATTACTCATCGTGGAGGAGCATAGACCGCCCACCAACACTCTCCATCCAACCCTGTCCCAAGCAAACCTCTCAAGCTCTTTCCAGTTATTCATCCTTTTCATATCCGCTTCTATTTTCCAAAGTAATGTGTTCTTAAGCCTTCCACTCTTCCGCTTTCCTTCGGAATTCCAATTTAGGGTGTGACTCGTGATGCAGTTTGGTGATCTCCGTAATGTACGTCCTATCCAATCGTCCTTGTGCATCGATGATGCTTCCTCAGGATTTTAATTAAATTCAACAAGCTCATAAACCCATACTTACAATTAAAATAATAAACAATAATCTTGATACTTTTGGGAATATATTAATTTGATAAAATTACAATACTTACCAATATAAACAATTATATTCGCTGTAAACGATGAGAACAAATATACTATTGTCATCATAATTCTATTTAATAACATTAAGCTTAATGCAAATATTAGTAAATTGAACAATGTATTCTGAAACTTAAAGTTGATTTTATTTTCAGTTAGGTTATTATCGTCATCATCATTATCATCATTCAATTCATGATTGTTTTTATTATTCATACTTGTTGATTGAGATAATTGAATTCTTGCCAGTATATTTACAATTATTATAGATAATAATGCTGAACATGCTTCTGTTATACCACTAAATGAATAGATAGATAGAAATATTGGAATAGAATGAATACAATAATACAGAACGGTTATGAAAAATATGTTAAAAATATCATTGTGATTATTAACTAATTAATTTTTTAATTATCCCAGTAATTTCGTCTCAGAACAAATTCTGAGTTGTAAGTGACCTACCTAACAGCAAAACGGATCACGGTATGAGAAACGAACTGCTCGCTCGAACAAATTAAAATCAACAGGTTCTCTTTTCTCAGTAGCTCCAACTGCATTTACCAATTTACATGTACGTGCCAAAGCACATACATTGGAAGAACCGAGAGAAGAGTACATGTTCGAATTTCTGAGCATGTTCCAAAGAAATCGAGACTGCGAGTGACTAGGGCTCTCAACAGTGCAATAGCTCAACATTTACTTGACACCATTGACATTCCTCATGCTTTTAAAATTATTAGCAGACAAAGAAAAACTGCTTCTTTCTGATTTACTGTAGCGATTGCGAGAAAAAAGCTCAAACCGGATCTATGTATTCAAAAAGAGTCAGTAATAAACCTATTACTACCCTGGTAATTCAAGTTTTTCTTTTGGTCGTTAGTATTATTTTGTTAATGTTTTGTCTGTTTTATCTTTCTTCTCCATTACCGAGTTCTTAAACCACCCCATTCACTCTTGCATTTCCACTCACTTGATTCTCAAAATTATGTGAACTCTTCAGATTCTATTCAATTATTACGTAACCCATCTTATGTAAACCCTTCATTATCTCTAAAATTATCACAATTTATCTTATCTGTCTCTGAACTCCACTCAACTATTACATCGACCATCCTTAATGCTTCCTTGATTCTAACACCAAATAAAAAAATACTCTGGCAGCCTGTTTGAATATATGGGTTACATCAACATATCTCAACAAGTTACCTATCTTTTGTTTGTATTAACACACCATTATAGCCCTTATTCGCATAACCTATTTAGGCGCGTTTATGAAAAGTCTACAGTCTTTCACCGTAAAACATAAGAAAAAGTACAATCAGAGACATTGTGATGGATGTCAATATGTACTGAAAATAATGATCATTGTTCAGATTTCGATTCTCGAACTGCTAACATCTAACTGGTGATAACTCAATATTTATCGTCAGGATAGATGAAGAATTAAAGAGAAGAAACTTGATGAAATACTTTGTGTTGAGAATTCTATAATGTACCAAAAATATGATATTGAATAAAGTCACTAATAATAATGATAATAACATCTGACCTGTTCTTATATAATATATATATATATATATATTGATAACCTTTGTCATTCCAATTCTTTACATTCACTTATGTCAATTGTCCCATACTATTTCTTACCTCAATGTAAAACTATGATACATATTTGGTTGTAAGCAGTTGATGAGAAACTATGGTATATAATGAATTCATATTATTCTGTATCAACGTTTGTTCTGGCTTTATTTAAATTCCTAAAGCGAACTAATTACATGAAATCGATTTATAATTGTTTAGAGTGTAAACATGTAACAGTTTTATTCTTTTCATCCAGACATATGTTTGATAAAAATTTATTCATTATTTATTTTAATCAGTTTCCACAACCACACACTATACTTTTATCAGTGTTGTTACTCAACACTTTATCATTACTAAATGATGAGATATATCAGATGGAAGTGTGGTGCGTGCTACTTATGTTGATATAAGTAGTATATGGCGCGAGTCAGGAATGTAATGTCTGGCAGCAGAAGATGAGGGAAGATCAAGAAAGCAAGAGCGGGAATAGAATGCAATTTGTATGAAAATGTAAGAACAATTAAGTCTGAGGCATTTTGAGATAATTGGTGGACATTTTGCAAATTAAGGATTTGATATATAGTTCACAGATTTTATTGAGATGCTCTGTTTTGCTTGTCAAACACATTCGGTTGTCCTCCCCTGTGTTCTCCTTCACTACAGAAGCAGTGATACCAGTTGTTAGAAAGAAAGCATCAATTACATAGTGGACAATAAACCTACCAACCAACAAAAACGAAAATCATACTTGTATGTATAAATACGCTTGATTTGCAAACTAGGATGTCATCAAAATGTTTTCATGAAAACATAAATAATCCTAATAATTGGAAACAGGATAAAAAATAAATATAAAAAAGCAATGATTATTAGGCTATCATTGATATTCTATACTCAATCAATACCTTTCGTAAAAACTTATCATTTCATTATGGTAATGTGATCAAACTATTCTACTAGTACTGGCGTGTATGCTGCCTATGTTGACAGAAATAACTAATATGTATGCTTAAATTAGTCAATATTTAAGCCACTTCTGTAGTCTTTAATAAGAAAAATTCCTTCGACACACTACTATTTTAATAAAGTATTTTGAAATTATAATTCTCAACTCTTCATTAATTATTTATGATTTCATTGGAGAGGTAATTAGCATACAGTAAACTTCCATCAGTTTTCACTTCTCATTATTTCGGATTAATAAATAGAGAATATTGAATGAGAAAATAATATGACTGCACTAAATTCACTAGTTTAAGCTTAAGCACATAAACCAATCTAACATTTTACTTAGATTATGATTTATGTGAAAAATAATTTGAACTTGTAATTCACGAGAAGCATGATTTTTTTGAGACAGACACATTTTGTGCATAAGGGCTACCATGATTTTGATTTGAAACTGTTCAAACCGTTTCTCTTGATGCTGAACATAGGCTTCTAGTTGCTCCATAGAAATATTCATTGTAGTTTTCCCCACCACCACTGATAAGTCTTCTAACTGAACGCTAGATTCGGTTCTTAAGCTCTTCTAGTCATTTTATTATTCTATATTTGTAAGTTAAAATTCACTTTATTGAATGATGAATATCAGAAAGGGTTTGTGGAGATTTTAAAAATTCCAGTAGTTGAAATCATGAGTCAATTGAAGCTAGACCACCATGGAAAACCTTAAAGCACTGGACGGCCGTTTCGTCCTAGTATGTGACTCCTTAGGAATGCGTATCAACAACCCCGCCCCTCGCTGGATTCGAAACTAGGACCTATCAGTCTCGCGTGCGAGCGCTTAACCATTAGACCACTGAGCCAGTATCCAACGGCATCAATCTCTAACTTCAACCAATCCGCGAAATTGCGCCATCGTACACTATTGTCTTCAGTGAGCTGATATCTCACAACAGACATGGTTTAACTCCACTGGTCACTGCTTCTCACTTGAACTTCAGGAAATGCCTCTTGAAGTCAGTCATTAGTGAGCAGTTGATTATTACCTGAAGATGTTGTGTAGAGATTTTAGAATTTCAATAGCTAAAATGAATAGTTGTACATTATTTACTTTTCCTCTTAATAGTGGTTAAACGGAGATGAAGATAATCAATACATTAAATTCTTATGATGTTACTGGTTAGTTACCGTATTTACGTACAGATATCAAAGTTGATTTGTTTCAGCTTCTAACTCATTATTTTCAGTTATAGTAATCAGAATTTCGGTCATTAATATACTAATATAAAAATATATGTTCCTTAAATTTAACATTATTTAATTCGTTCATTGTTTTTTCTTTTATATGTATACTGTTATGATAGTATACGTGATTCTTTGATTTCTGTTATGAGGTATTGTATTCTTTAGTTTGAAAAACTTATTAATAAAAGACTTTTCAACAAGTGATATAAGAAAAGTGATTCAAATTGAGACATAGTGAAATGTCTGGGAGCAGAAGGTTAAGAAGATCAAGAAAATGAAAACGAGAACAAAAAATGATTGGTGTGGAAAAGAAAGAACAATAAAGTCTGAAACGATTGTTTGACATTTTGTAAATGAAGTTTATACTGTCTGGTTCTCAGATTCTACTGTGATTCTGTGATTTTGTGTTCAAATGTATTCGATTGTCCCCACTTCTGTCCTCGTTCAATACAATAATATTGAATGTTTTATGAGTGAAATATTCATTTCATATGGAATAAAAATTTACAAATATCTGGTTAAGTAAAAAAATTTCATTTTAATTACTTATTCGTAAGGAGTCATCTCTTAGCGATTTATTTACTTAGATTTCAACTACAAAACCTACTTGTTTATCACAAATATAGTACATTTCGTAATCATTACATTTTTATAATAGTTCAGTAATACTTTTTTTTCTGTAGTGTTAGGTATTCCCAAACTTGATTCTTCATTATCCGTTACTATAACGTAAAATAATTATCACAAATGAAGCTTTACAGAGAAGCTAAAGGTGATGTGATCTTAATGTCTACATTGAGAATAATTGTTTCATTGTTCTAGTCTTACTTATTATTTAAATTATTGTTAACCAAAGTCACTCTATCATATATTTGTTTTCGTAGCTTTAATAAACGATTAAAATGTTCACAAGACAGTCGTAGTATCGTGATTTATTGGTTTCAGATCTTAATATATACCAGCTATAATAAGTATGGTAGCTGCTTAGTGTGAGTTGCATCTAATTTACCGAAGCCAATGTTTTGAGTTCAACCCATTTCTTTCGAAAACGACTCTGTTAATCAATACCTAACACTAGATTTCACGTGTAACTCATTTTCAAAGCCGAATGCATAGATGTGTACTTGATAAATAAGTTATATCACAAATCATTTTAATTATATGAACTTAGATGTAATGAGACTGAATTCTGATTGATGTTTAACAAAGTAAGTTTATAATATCAGCATTGTGATCATTATTATTTTCAATTTTTCTAATTACAAGGGAACTTCCACAAGTTTACAGTTTGTAAGCCTAAGAAGAAATCAAGTAGAAAATTGTGTACTGTCCACTAAGATCTATCTGATGTATTTCAAAGTACACTAATAAGCAAACAGATACGTATAGAGTTAATACAATTCGAATACATATTTTCACATAGTTTGTGAACATTGATTGTACTGTCCATAAGCTAACTAAAGGTCACTGTTTATAGATTCTTATCTTCTTGTCAAAGAATCAATACATAGACATAGACAATAGATGCCAACATTGAAGTTTAACATTACAATCTACTGTTTTTAACTAACGAATTGATGTTTCCACTTTGAAATACCTTACAATCGTTCGATTTTCATCAACAGGAGAGAAAAAAACAAAGTAATTTAAAACAAAATAAGGTTCCTACTTTTTTCGGACAACAAAAAGAACTTTGAAATATATTTCATTAAGGTTTGTCAAAAATATAGAGCTGATTGTTTGACATTAAATAACCTCACTAACAAGCCGAGTGTAAAACCAGTAAGCTAATGATTTAGAGAATAGAAGCATAGATCAATGTTAATTTCGATAAATGTAAGTTGCCACTTTACATCCAAACAATATGAAGAGAACTAATATAAGTTTAATTTGATCCCTTAATTAATAAATTAATTGGTAATTAAACACGTTAAACCAGTAATTCCCCTTGTTAGAGCTCTTATTGCTGTGAATACTAAACATGTTTCTGTTCATGTATCAAATGTTAACATTAAAATGTGCGGAATTCATATTGGCTATTCGTTCGGAGATTTTTTTATCATTATAAAGTGAAGAAAATATATAATTCCATTTAGTGAAATGAAGTTAAAGCTTAATCTAACATCCTCTGACCACTTTAAACAGATGTTTGCAGAGAAATGAGTTCTAGACTCATTGAAATAAATGAGTGCTAGTTTTACAACACATGCAACTCTTAACTAAAAACACCAGTCTAACTGTCTACCATTCCATTCGACTACTTATCATATACATCCATCGGGTGGCCAGCTTAAATATCTGGACTACCTGTTCCTTCCATCTAGTTATTCCAACAAGTTATCTGTTTTTATTATGTTTGTTTTAACACATCATTATGCCTACTAGTCTCATAGTCTATTCAGGCGCGTTTACGACCTTTTGCTGTACAAGTTACAAAAAAGCCAAATCAGAGACATAATGGTTGCTGGCAATATAAATCGAAAAGAATGTACTTTATTCAGATGTCAATTCCGGAACTGCTGACATCTAACTGGCTATCACCTATTATTTATCATCAGGATCGATGAAGAAATAAGAGACGGAAACTTGTTGAAATACTTTATGCTGAGAATTCTATATTGTACAAAAGTATAATATTGGATAAAGCTAATAATAATAGAAATAAATTTAGATGACCAAAGCTGTTTGATATTTCACCGAATCAGATATTTTCTATTCATTTAAAACGAATCTATCATTTGTAATCACATCGTTTGTTTAATTTCAAATGGGGCATAAAATAAGATCAAACAAATAGTAAGTTACTTGCTTAATCCTAGCTTCCTTGAATTCCACCAAAATGGTTCACTCATTAAGTATACCGTAACAAATGGTGAATCTACCATTGCCGAAATAGATACAATAAATAGAATTCCTAAGATTATTATTAAAACTGGATTGGAAGATATTACAGTCTAAAAAATAAATGATGATAAAATGAGAATTTTGCTTTAAAAAATTATGCAATAATAATTGCTGTGGGAAATAATCATAATCTGGTACAGCTATTAATTATATAATCAATAAAAAGGTAGTTTCTTACAAAGTATAGGCTTTCAGAAAATGACAGCTAATTTTATAACATTTGAGGAATCCGCACTGTATACATAGTGGAAATCGTTTAAAATCAGTTGAATAGTTAAAGCCATAACAAATTTTGTCAAATGGATGTGACAATCTTTGGTATTACATTATTTATTGATCATAATAATAGAAATACTTAAATTCATTTGGTAATATTTGCTTGTATTTTCCCTTTGTTGTTAAGGGCTGCGATTGATCAGTCTCTTGTTGGGATATATGTATGCTGTACCGGTTGCTTTGATATTGCCTGAAGTCACGAGCTTTATAAGCAAAAATGGATGATGGCTAACAGTGGAGTCCAGTACGCTTGTGACTTACGGTAATATCGAGACTGTCCGAACAAGATGCACATATGCCAACAAGAGACTGATCGATTGCCGTCTTTAACAACAATCGAAAGTTACAAGCAAATAATACCAAGTGAATTTAAACTTCACCCAATTGCACAAGCAGGTGACTAAAAGGACTCAGTAGCTAAGTGGATAATGTGATGGCGTTTGAAGCGAACGGTACTGGGTTCCAGTCCCAGAGTGAATATCAACTCTGAGATGCAGATATATCCAGCTGACGAGTCCCAAATAGGACGAAACGCGCGTCCTGGATTCCACTGCTAGCCACTATCCATCTTTGCTTATAGAAATATTTAGTTTTTAACTAACCAAATATCTGACGCTTCACAGTTAAATTAGTTAGCTTTCAACCATTTGGTCATTAATTTGAACTTCATTTTTTAATTTCCCCTAACATATTTTCATTCTTTTGAAAACGGCTTGACTTATGATACATAATAAATTTATACATTTGGTAAGTGGTACTGCTTTAAGGCAGATGATGTAATGTTAACAGCTGATTTACAGAATATTTTAACAGCTTTACGAAAAAATAACGTGTACACAATAAATTTATTTAACTTATGATCATATAATTCATGTTTAATAATTGAAGTAGTCCTCCCTCTTTGTTGTTCACTTTGATGCTAACATAACAGTCAACATTTATTATTTTTAAAGTTAAAGTAAACATTTCACTCAAAGCTCATTTTCTTGAACCGACTAAATGTTTCAGGACATTTGATGTAACTAATCTATTTTCTTCTTTGTTAAGCTATAATGAGAAATAATTTCAAGTAAAGCAAAATCATTAGTTTCATCCTGAGACATCATTTACAAGATCCAATAAATGATTCTTAAGCTTTACTCATTAACCTCATTCTACATTTGATTGAAATCATTAAAAAATTAATGTCAAACCTCCAGTGAAAATCTCCAAACACTAGAAGGCCGTTTCGTCCAAACAGGGGAACTGATCGACAGTGCGCATCTGCAATCACGAACGTAGGACTCAAGGCCAAAGCCTTAGGTTTCGTACAAACGCTTAATCTCTAGACCAATGAGCTAGCATCCAACAATGTTAATGTCCAACTTCAATCAATCCATATTACATTACAATAGATTTACATGTCAACATTTCGATAGTGAACTATTGCAATACAGTACTGAGTTAATAAGAAAGTCCTATACTTTTCATAATCAACTGTAAGCTATAATAAACGAATAGATAATTGATGTATATAGTAAACATATGAAAACAAAAGTTGCAATCAAACTGTTAAGTAATAATAACAATTAGGAAACTATTTACCAATTTTATTTACCATTAATGTTTGTTTAATTTTCTGATAAAATATATGCCAACAAGTTAATTTCATTTTTGTTAAATGTACATTATTTGATAGTTTATCATGATTATATACATTGACTTCAGTATCATATTTTAATTGTTTAACATTATTTGTTTCAGGTAAAAAGAATATCAATATTATAACTGGTAAATAGATTAGAATACAAACCATCATTGTAATATTGAAACCATATGTATGAATTAATGAACCTTTTAAGTAAAAGGATTGAAGTAAACTTTATCATTTATTATTTGATTATGTAATGTAAATGATTCGTACATAATTTAAACAGTTTTTTTTTAAATAAATATTTTATGGGTTACGCAATTTAGATTATGTCTTATCATCAGACAGTGCTGGTGAACGGCCTATGCTCCTTCACGAGGAGTAACAGGCGTAAGTAAGTAAGTAAGTAAGTAACAATCAGTTCAATAATGACATTTGTCTAAGATAAACGATTCATTTAGAGAATTACATTAAACTAATGAGCAGTTGTTTTGTATAAACCAGGATACTATTTGCATTATGCACGTATACAACATTCAACTTGGAATTGTCTGATCATTTTGTGTAATAACAATTTGTTGTAATGAATCGATTTTAGTAAGCACAAATAAAAAGAACCTGTAATCAGTTTAGGGTTTTTTGTAGAGATTGTAGTAATTTAATGGTTGAATTCATGTGTTGATTAAAGCTAGACCATTACAGAAAACCTGGAAGCACTGGACGGCCATTTCGTTCTAGTGTGGAACTCCTAGAGGTTAGGCATTTGCGCGTGAGACCGAAGGTCCTGGGTTCGGATCCCAGTGGGCGGGATAGTGAATGAGCACTGGCGAGGTGTCCCGTACTAGGACGAAACGGCCGTTCAGTGCTTTCAAGTTTTCCATGGTGGTCTAGCTTTAATCAGCTCATAAATTCAACTATTAAAAAGATTTTCTCAAGTTTTATATACAAGTAAATTTATGGTATATGTCCATCATATCTGGTCATATTCTCGTTAATATTTAATTCATTTTCTGTAAGAAAACAATCATCGACATTCCTTTTGATAACTCACTGGCTTCGTGAATCATGATTTAATCAACATTCACATCATTCTTTGAGATTTAAATCGTGAGGCATGTGCGATTGATGCCTAGTCGTTTTTTTCATGAATCTTATTGATATGTCTGAGATATTTTGAAAACGTAATATAAGGTTTTTATAGGTAAATCGAATACAAAGTGGATTTCTATTTGACTTTTTAACTCTCGTATGTTACAGCTAGGTATTTTACATTTTTTTATTTCAACAAAAATTTTATTGTAACATCCTTGTCATTGCTTATGTAATCGAGTAGATTAAACTAACGATAAGCAGATGACGACGCCTTGGAAAACTGTGGAACCTTCTCTTGTTCTTTCACTTACTTTACATACTTGAACTACAAAGAAAGTTGTAAATGAAACAATAATGCTAGGCAAAATTAATTGATAATATATTTACTGTTATTACTGTTAACACTGGCCAATAAATAAATAAGAATACTAACTTGACTTAAAAATTTTATGTGAAAATTATATTTTAAATAATGTCAGAGATTGAAATTTAAGTAATTCCAACGTTTTGCCCAGCTAACTTGTCTGGACTTCTTTACGGTAATCATAAAAATCAAATAAAGGTAAAAATCAACATCCAAATATGATTGGATTAACAGTCAGTCAGCTACAACATGGGACCAGGCACATACGTGCATCGGTTCAAGTTGCCATACCTCATTAGCACAGCAAGACGAACACCAGATTCATAGAAGCAGTTAACTCAATGGTGTAATATATGAAGGAAAGATTGCGTATAAGGACATGGTACAGGAAGAAAGAATTAGTACGTAGAAAGAAAGATATGAAGCAATTTTAATCTCACGGTTTAAAGGAAGACAGAGAGTGTATACACTTACGTCATTATGATCGATTCTGAGCCATGCCACCAAGAATCTCCAACCATTGGTTGTGATAGTCACACGGACCCCAACCAAGTAGTCTGCATCTACGAACATGGCTTAGATCAGAAGTTAGTGACTTCAAGCACTAATGCCACGTTTTGGTTTGGCCGCCCCTAACTTTCTTCCAACCATCCCCAACATCGGTTAGGATTGCACGTCGTGGTAATTAGTGTTCAGGCATACACAACACGTGGCTCAACCATCTCAGTCGATGGAGATTCACAACCTCGTCAACTGATTTACCATCATTCCCTAATCCCCTGTATCTAACCTGACTATTACTTACCCGGTGATTCCAGCATATGCGAGCAATATTTATAAGACATCTGTGGTTAAATAATAGTAACTTACGAGTATCTTCTACTCTTAATGGCCAAGTATTGTTGCCGTAAATTAAAACAGAACGAACTGCCGCGCAGTATACCCGTCCTTTTATTGATAGACGGATATCTCGCCCTCGCCATAGGTGACGTAAGTTGACAAAAGTAAAACGAGCTTTTCGAATCCGTGCTGAGATTTCGTCAGACACCGACCCATTAGGGCTGATCAGACTTCCATGATAAGTGAAGTTGTCAACGCGTTCGACTACTTCTCCCCCTATCCTTAGTTCAGGTGTTGACGCAGACTAGTCCTGAAGCAACAACTTGCATTTAGAGAGCGAGAAGCGCATCCCAAACATTCTAGCATTTTAACACAGTACAGATTTGATTTGATTGTTACAACGCCATATATTTCTTTGATGATTTTGATTATTACCGTGAAGAAGTCCAGACAAGTTATCTAGACGAAACGTTGGAATTATTTGAAGTCCAATCTCTGAGATTATCTAAAACATAATTTTCGCATGAAGTGTCTTCTCTATACTCGGCACCCAATTTCTGTTGAACTATTCTTTCTAATCTTGATGAATATTCGTATAAATTGATTTCAAATAGTTACATTATAAAATTATCATATATCTATATCATCAAAACAAATTCTGATTCAATACCATTGGATGCATTTTACGCAGAATTAGATTCATAACTTAAAAGTTTTATGTAAATGCCGATCAGTATCATACTAACCTGCAATCATACTAGCAATTGCCAAACTTAAACAAGCTAAGCCATCAATAAGTGTTAAAAATATCCAACGTCGACGTTCATACACAGATTTCGGAATAGATGTAAATTTTTTAAGTTGATCATAATTCGTTAAATCTGTAATACAAACGGAGAATTGAGCAATAGCTGATAGTAAACCACCACCAATTAAACCTTCTAGTACATTTGAAGCAACTAATGCCCATGGTGTTAAACGAAAGAAAACTACAACAGCTGTAAATATTTAAAAAAAACAAATGCATTAATAATATATAAATTTGTAATACAAAGAATAGGGATACACTTCAAAAGTTAAATAGAGAAAATAAAAAATGAAAATTCGATTATTATTAAGCTTAGACAAATAAAACTTAACTCACTTATTTCAATCTAAGAATATCAACAGGAATTTGTATACTTTTAGAAAGACTAAGCAAAATAAGTAGACTTGATCTAATGTTAATTAATTCCCTTAAGTACATCAAATGTAAATAGTTATTATTGAAGTTAGTTATTCGCTGCTGTACATATAGTTGATATGAATACAAAAGGGTAACATTTAAATAATGGTGTATGTATCCATAATCGAAAGGTGTAACGCAAAACCTTAGTTGGTGTAAAACATTCAAGGAAGGGTGTTTTTGAACATATTCGGATGGATTAAATGTGTTATAAAGCTTAGATTGAATAAATTAAGTGAATGAATGATAATCGGAAATTACCTTGACATATAAATGCACATCATCACTAAATTTAGACTTAAGATTTTCTGGATTCCACATAAAAACCACTTGTTATTTGTAAGATTTTACAACTTTGATAGCTAAAAGTTCTCCTTGTTACCTTTTTAAAAATTTCACTTTCATTTAGTGATTATAAGGATTTAAAATGATACTGTTATCAGTTTAATAATTACTCAATATAATAATCTGTCAATAAATGTCTATGCGTAAAGTACTTTTTTGATGTTGGATTCTTTAATTTAATTTCTTAATACAGTACATGGTTGTAATTTGTAAATAGTTAACTATGTTATTAACATATGAGGTTTAGTGTTGATCAAGTTAACCACAATTATTTTTTCTCAAATGTTATTCTTCTGGCCTTTATCACTACTATTTGTCGTTTGCTATGCATGTAATCAAATTTATTAGGGTTTACGTCCTATTTGATTTAAACTGATTTAGCTTGTTTTAAGAAAAACTAGACTGTTTTACATGTACTTCGAATACATTGTTATTATCATTAGCTTTATCCAATATTATACTTTTGTACAATATAGAATTCTCAGCATAAAGTATTTCAACAAGTTTCCGTCTCTTATTTCTTCATCGATCCTGATGATAAATAATAGGTGATAGCCAGTTAGATGTCAGCAGTTCCGGAATTGACATCTGAATAAAGTACATTCTTTTCGATTTATATTGCCAGCAACCATTATGTCTCTGATTTGGCTTTTTTGTAACTTGTACAGCGAAAGGTCGTAGACTCCTTCTAAACGCAGCTGAATAAGTAATGTGGTTAACAAACATAAAGATGTGTTTAAAAATACAAATAACTTGTTAAAATATCTAGATAGCAAGAACAGGTAGCCTAGATATTCGAACAGGCCGCCAATATTCATAATAACACAATGAATGAGCTTAGTTTACACTAATTCGCACTCAAATAACAGACAAAGTAAACGTTTTACCGATAATTTCAAAGTAATTATGTGCTCATGTCTTAGGAATCATTTAAAATTCATCGTAAATATTTTTGCCAAACATTACTTGCTTAGGGGTGCTCTTTATTTTTCAAAACAAATGTTTTGCTACATCTGATGCACTGTATAATATTAATTCATCATTAAAGTAAATTGTAATAAACACATCAAAATTGTGTTAGCATTATATTTAGCTTTTAAAGAGTACTTCTAGACTAGATATAGAATGACTGTTATAAAAAAAAACATACCGACAGCCACCACTTGTGCAGCTTCTCCAGCTATAAGGATTCCTAAAGCAATTTTTCGTCCAAAACGATCTGATATATATCCAACTAATAGAGTAGATATTAAACCAGGAGCAACTGCTGCAAAGTTATTTGATGACTGTACTAATGATGTTTGCTTCTGGGCATCGTGTTGTTTGAGTTTTATTTCTGTAGAACTGTGTTTATTTTTAAAGATAAGAAAGCATTGATAAATCAATATTGGTTCTATTTTATCTACAGTTACTTAGAATAACATTTTAGGTATGTCGTCGAATGATTTCAAATAACTTTTAAGAAACCTCTCGAGTTCTTTTAATGTTAATTAGAGAACTACCCATCAACTTATTAAATTCAATGAAGTGAAAAGGAGAACTTTATAAAAATGTCAACTGATTACTGTTACTTTGAAAATTTTACAAAAAAAGAGGAAAAATGTGTCACCAGATTAAGTTGACATTATTCATTTTTGATTAAGCGCTCGCGCGCAAGACCGAAGGGGCTGGGTTCGAATTGCGCGAACGGAATCATCGACGCGCACTTCTGAGGAGTACCGCAGTAGGACGAAACGGCCTTCCAGTGTTTCCAGGTTTTCAACGGTAGTCTAACATCAATCGATTCATGATCTCAATCAAAAACTTAACAATCTCCACAACCCCTATACTAGTAAGTTAAGAATTGAATTCATGAGTCAATCGAAGCTAGAATATCCTAGAAAACCTGGAATTACTGAACAGCCGTTTCGTTCTAGTATGGGACTCCTCATCAGTAAACATCCACGATCCCGTCCTATGGGATTTAATTATGATTTTCATATACACATTGTTATATAATATTGTCCAACTACGGTGGAATTATACAAAGAAATAGATAAATTTCATTCATCTAATATGTCATAATTTCATATTATTAAACCCAATTAATTTTAAGCTACCTTATTATCGATTTTGACTCAAATACTCAGTTTAAAGTGATCTAGAAATCATATATCTTTTTTTCGAAAAGTTTATACTGTGAATACTACTATTATCAGTAATACTTATTTGTATTATTCTATAGAAACTTATCTCAATCTGATCATCATTGTTAACTGGCTTACATTCCGTGAACATTTTGTTTTTCTTGATCAAGTTTATAAATAAAGAAGAATGTGTGCAGTTCATTTGCTTTGTATTATAAAACTTCGTATTTTAGAATTATTATTATTGATGAAATTGTTATGTGAATAAAAACTTAAAAGTGAAACCTACACTTAACTAAAATCCGATTATTATTATTATTATTATTAAGTTGTGGTTAGCATTCAGGTGTTATTACTTCATCAGTGATTAAATACCGAATCTAGTATTAAATTTATTTTGTATAGTTCCTTAGTATATTCCTATGGATGTTTAGGACTACAATTGATCAGTCTTTTATTAGCATATTTGCATTCTGTGCGCATTGACTCGATATTCCTTTAGTGTACAATCACTATAAGCAACAATGGATGGTGGCTATCAGTGAAATTCAATACGCACATTTCGTCCTATTTGGGATGTCAGGATTCAGTAGCTTAGTGGATAACACGATGGCGTTTGGAGCAAACAGTAATGGGTTCGAGTCCCGAAGTGAACATCAAATCTTGAATAGAAGGAAAATTCAGCTAATGAGTCCCAAATAAGATAAAATATACACCCTGTATTCCATTGCTAGCTACCATCCATCTTTGTTTATAATAATCTAGTATTGTTAAAACATTTAAATGAACAACTTATTCACACGCTGGTTTGTGAAAATGATTTTATGAATAAAACAAAACTATATACACACATTTACCAATTAAAAAAAGGCATTTACTCTTAAAGTATAATACATTTTGTCTTGTTTTCAATTTAAAGATGGTTTTAAACGTAAACCGGCATCAGGAAACAATTGAAAGCAACCAATATAAGTTAAGTAACATATGATTTCAACTAAACATCTTAATAAAATATTGATGTTTTTGGAGGTCTCACAAAGAACTGTAGGTTCTCATTAAATGAAATAGTTGTCTGGTATTTTGTTTTCAAAAATATAAGTAAAGGAACATTTCATTCAGACTTTGTAGTAATTCTCTTGTGTGGAAGTGAGATTGGACCATTGTGGTTGAATTTTTAATTTATAAACTTAATACAATAAAGCAATTTTTGCAAGTCATGTCATTTTACGATAATCTAATACTGTTTAATCATACAAACATCAATTAGACCACTTTAATAAATAATAATTGTTTATCAACTGGTAATTAGCTCCTAAATAATTTAATCTGATTTCCAGTGATTTTAGCTAAACCATAATCGATCATCCAACTGAACTGAGAGCGAAAGGGAAAATTATCCATATTTCGGTGGAGTAATGGGATTTATTCATAATAGTAAATCACTAGCATTTATTGATTGATTGTTTAAAGACATATTTTGTGATCTTAATATTCAGATAGTATTATTGACAAGAACTAATTTATGGTTTAAAATGATTGAGTTAGTGATAGTACTACAAGCCAAAATAACTTCATTATGTTAGAATCAGTATACTCATACATATTTCAGATATTGTAACACAAATTGATAATACTAAGATTCACAGTTACAGTTTTGTGCAAATTTATGTTTCATGACATTAATCACTGTAGAACAGTGTCATGAAAAACCATGGCTTAACTTCTATTATACACACATGTAAATAAATAGGATCTATAACAAAAAAATGAAGTGCAATTTTAAGTATGTAAAATGAATGAAAATTAAGGTATGTGGTTCAGTATTATCGAAACTTTTGTTCGAAGTCAATAGATTATGTTATCTAAACTCTTCTAAAATAACACTAAATAAGAATTGATTCAATCACTTTAAAGGCCAGAATGAGTTCAAAGAATTAAGTTACAATAGGGTCATCATCATACACTTGTATGATATCTTTTGGTTATGCGTGCTAGATTTGAAAATTGATCCATTTCATTTATATTAAAGATTGAATTTAAATCACTTAATGTCGTTAATTAATAGAAACTTCATTTTATTCCAGAAATGAAATTATCTATTCATATGAAACGTATGAAAAATAAACTCACTTATTTCCATCAGTAGATATACCATATCCATAAGGTAATCCACGCTGTGTTAGGAAACTACAAATAGAACATAATGATTAAATAATAACATCATATATATTAGCAAACAATATTGTTTTCGAGTAGATCCTCATCAAGCTTTACATTAATTTACGGTAATATTTATACGCATTGCGAGGTCTGTCCACGGGTGAACTTGCGGAGGCAATAAGTAGCTCATAAAGAGCCGAAGATATTCCATCCAATCAACTTTTGGAAGAATATTCCAGAATCCCTATATGTAGCTTCCCTATTGGACAAATGCTAATAACCTCCTGTGTGCAGATTGAATAACTTGGGTTTTACTAAGAACTATAAATACGTGACAGTTTTATACCATAATTGACACTGTTTGGAAAAGCATTCCTTTCGTTTATCTTCTGTTTTCTCATTTAATACTTTGAAGGGTTCTGGCGTTTGAGTGCTCAAGTTATACGCGGCATATTAAGAATCTGTTATGTTCGGTCGTCGCAATTGTTGTGCCGGAAAAAGCGTTGATCACTTGTACTCGGAACAAGAGACCTCGGCAATTCCCACGGTGCGAAAGTAAGAACACAAGACTGGTATAAGTGATGATTTATTAGCCCCAAAACACAACGACGACGATTATCAAAATAGTCTAAAATACACTGGTTTATATATTGATTTTACACCCATTTTTGATTAATAATTAGGATTAAATCACATATATAACAAATCACAGACTGAGCATAGTACATGTCAATGGAATACAAGAATATCGTATATTATAATAGAATAAAATATCATACGACAAAAGAAAACAATTACTACAGCGAATGATCATCACATTGAATTAGAATGGGTGTAATGTAATGAGTAAATCAATCGAAAATTGATTTTTCTTCCCATCATATCAGAATCTAAGCTCTAGATCTAACATATATGAAGTTACTAAACCAATGAAGACAGTTTCTGAGTGAATGATAACAGTGGAATAGATTACATAACAAAACATAATAAATGAAAAGTACAAGTTGATAATGTGATGACAGGTGTACTAGTTGTGATATGAATAAATAAATAATATCAGAAAAGGTTTGTGGAGATTTTAGAAATCTCACAGATTGAAATCATGAGCCGATTGAAGCTAGACCACCATAGAAAAGCTGGAAGCACTGGACGATCGTTTCATCCTAGTATGGGACTCCTCAGCAGTGCCCATACTAGGACGAAACGACCGTCCAGTGCTTCCAGTTCTTCTATGGTGGTCTAGCTTCAATTGACTCGTGATTTCAGTCTATGAAATAAATAATAATAGGAAGTTTTTCAAAAAAATCTCGTTTCATTAATGAAATAAGTATCATCATTGAAGTGTGTTATTAATATGCTCGTTTATTGAAATTTATATAAAAATATTCCAAGATTGATTCGTAACACAATGTGATGAGGCTCTACGAATGGATTTAAGTATAACTAACTATGATAACATGAATTAATCAAATGTCTCATGCAGTGTATTCACATTCAATTGTATAATACAGTAGGATATTCAGAATTTAACAGTTACATAATTAAAATTAACTTTTTAAGATAATAGTTGGGATATCTACCTTAATTGTTGAATGGCAAAGGTTTGGAAAGATATCAAGTATCTGACTTCAGTTATTATTTTTTTGATTGTGACAATTTTCACCTATATGACATTTATTAACTAGTTCCATCTGATAAATTAGTGATCAGGCAGTGTTCAGACGATGATTTAACTGATTTTAAAATTCTTTATTGCACTGCAACTAAGTTCTTACAAAAGAAAGTACGTTTTTCATTTCTGAAACATCAACAAAATACCATCATGAAATAATACATTCGGTGACATGTTTTCAGTTAATTTAAATAAAAAACTTTAGATTTCATTTAAAAGTATCAGTACAACGAAATACTCATTTCTATATGATCTTAATCGGTTCAACATAATGAACTTAGTGAACTAATAGACTGTAAAGTGTTTTCTAATCAGAACTGGTGACAACTATCAGTAGGTTTTTCTATATAAGATTATCATTAGATGAATACTCCAAAATACGTTAAAAACCACGTAAGAGAAGAATTACTTGAAGCCTTAATTGTTGAACCATGTTTTATGTAATAACTGCAAAATAATCCTAATTAGAGTTGTCAATTTCAATCAAGTAGAAAGTATACTGTATTCAATGTTGCAATAACCATATATTACTATTCCTTCATTTAACTAAAATCGATAATAATGAACATCATAGTCTGATAATATATAATATTTTCAGCACACATTTTCCATTCATTTTTGGCAATGAAACTTGAGACAAATGAATATATAACGAAGGAATGCATTAGAAGAGCCATTTAGCAATATTGATTAATACTGCGAAATTACTTAACATTTTCAATTTGCTACTTAAATAGAAGAAAATAGTTTTAGGTAAACTAATGTTCAAGGCTAAAAACTACTTATATATCAAATCAATATAAACGTATAAATTATTTCTAAGCTCATTATAACTGAGAGTGAAATGTATAGTTATAGATATGTATATTCCATGAAGCCAAAATGTACTAACAGTGCATGAAATCAGTGACTGTTGTACTACGTCGTGCAGATATCAAGGTTAGGATTCCTGAAATTATTATAACTGGTGATTGGAGATGTTGGCTTATGTGGTTCAGAATCAGTTTTAATAGTAAAAGTAAATCTACACTTTGTTTTCTCTTAGAACTTCAATTTTAAAACTGTCTAACATTTTTCATTCAACAAATTCATTCTTTCTTCTGGAATCATATTGACTATTTCCAGGTTCTTCTACTGTCACTAATACCATTATCATTTCTACCACTCTGAAATTTGTCTCCATAATTTAATCTCACCGCACAGATATCCTGTCGTAACTTGTGCCGTACTTATATAAACCATGCTAGAAGTTGCTTATGATATATATATATATAAGCCATAATTTTGCATGAATATAAATTTTGGTATTTTAGCCACAAAGCTATCTACACATACTAATATTTTATTACATAATAATCTTCGATTCGTAATATGAAATGATTCGAATGAAGGTTTCATATTGAAATCAATGAAAAACATGAATAAATTACCTGTAGAAAGTAAACTGATCACATATAAAAGTCGATATTTCAACTGCAGTATAAAATGGTATAACCATTGAGATCAATATGCAAATAACTTTAATATCGTTTTTAGAAAGGGTAGTTTTTGTTTGATCATCTATAATATTGAGATCAGATTTCATATTTTTTTTCTAATGAATCTTTAGATCATGTCAAATTTTAAATAAAAAGTAAATAACTTCACTGTTGAAATACAAACAAGAAATTTGTAATCTGTTATATAATTAAGTTTTTCTATCGAATATATATATATATTACTATAAATGATTTTACAACTACAAGCATACATGTTTTGTTTTATAAAATGTCAACCAATAAAATTATTGGTTTTATACAGCTTAATTAGAATACTATTGTTTTAATTAAAGACATAAAATAAAGACTTTTATTCTATAGCGAAAATAGACATTGGTTAGCAGTGGAATCTAGAACGCGTGTTTTGTCTTATTTGAGATTCTTCAGCCAGATGTACCTGTATCTCAGAGTTGATGTTGACTCTGGGACTGATCAATAGTAGTCCTAGACAACAATGAAAAGATTCAAGTAAACGATAACAACTGAATTTTATTCTATAGGTATGTTGATTCCTTAACTAAATTTGTTGTTTGAAGGAGGTTCTGTGGAGAATTCATGAGTAAATTAAAGCTAGATCACCATAGAAAACATGAAAGCACTAGACGGCATTTTCGTCCTAGTATGGGACGCCTTAGTAATGCTTCCAGGCTTTCCATAGTGATCTAGATTAAATTGACTCATCGATTCAACTATTAAATCATTTGTCTTTATATATTTGTGCTAGTAATAACAAAGAATAAATATTTTGATTTCATTAAAAAACATGATATAAAGGCTTAAATGTATGAAACGTTAATTATTTAAGTGTGCTGTTTCATTTATCTAATTAATGTGGACTATGCTTTGTATATGCTGGTCGGCGGCTCATGCTCCATTAGGAATAACAGGCGTAAGTAAGTAAGTAGTGCTTTGTATAAGGAGCAGCATGTAATTTGTTATAATCCATGTTATTTTCATATATGTGATTTTACGCTAATTAACAATCAAAATGGGTGTATTGATAGATATATATCAATGAGTGTATTTTTGAGCATGGTCGTTGTCATCTTGTTTTGGGGTTAATAAATCTTTACTTGTACCAGTCTTATTGATTATACTCCACGTCATAGGACCTACTGCGGTTTCCCGTTTCTTTAAGTATTAATAATAAGTAATTCGGATATAGCACACATTGAATATTATAAAAAGCCATTTAATCTATCAAGTAAAAACGAAATGGAAGAATACTCGAAAAGCAAAATTCCTAAATAAGGTCGTCTGCAAAAATGATAAACAGAGAAATTGGATCACCTTCATAGTACTTGATCAATGTAACTAGTTATGTGATGTGATAACTTGTTTCACTTAATGAACGATTTCACAATAACATTTTTGGTCCTTTGAAGTAAGATCTGAAGAAATTGACATTTCAGCATTAGTTGACTACTTTGTTTTTATCGATTTCTTTGACTTTAATAAGAGATTGAAAAATTAATCTATATTGTATAAAATCAGTTTACTTAGGGTTGTAAGATCAAAATGTCACGGACAAAACTATTGATTTATGACCCAAATAATTATTACATAACTTTCATGCAAATACAAAAAGCTTTAGCCGTGGTTAGAAATTCTAATATTGCAGATAAATTAAAATGAACATAGTGGTATTCTATCACCTACGATAATTGGTTCATATGAATTATATAACTTTGAAATTCCATCAGCTTTGTCACGGAATAAAATTGTAATCATGTGATCGAAAATATAAGCACTGAAGGTTGGAAACATTTCAATGTATAGCGTTTTGACCGCAACACCTTTAACACTAATTTGACTGAATATAAATTGATGTATTAAGAAGCCATATAAATGACGTGTACAATATTTGAACCATAACATAGGTATCCAGTGTTGAGATCGATATTCATCTTTCAAAATGAGGTAACTAAGGATTTCACATCTTAAATTATTCCGAGTGGCAGAAGTAATTCAGGCCGCATCATTCCTCATTTTAATCACAGAGGTAGACTGATGAAATCAAATTATCTCGGTTCTAAGAAGTATATTATAGTGACAATTGTGAAAGTGATGTAGAAATATTTCAGGTGTTTTGACGTACATTAGCAGTTGTGGAAATTATTACATTCCGAGAAACTTTATCCCTATAATAAATTTCGTTATAAGTATTTCATGGTCAATAACTACTTTTTATGTCTAATGTTACTACCGACCACTCTTACGTACTTATGAGATGTCAAATTTTTGCAAACTATCTATATTACTTGGCACTTTAACAGTAGCGAAAATAGGAATGCACCAATTCCAGTGGACAGTATACAATCTCAGAATTAACATGTTATACATCAATATCCAAGTACATATGTATCACTTTTGCATATTCGTTTGTCTGACTTCTTCATTCATATAAATAAATGGTCCTTTTAATCATCAATGTTTTATTACTTAGTCAAACTTATTACATTAGTTGATTCCGATGTGAATCATTGCTTCAGGCTAGTATATTCGTGTTCTCACTGGCAAATTACATTTAGTGTATTTGTCAGTAAACATAATTTAAAAATTAACCAAGCTTTCTCAACAGAAGCAATTCTGTTTATGAATTCGATAAGATCACAGTACGTAAATATTCATTAACATTATTATAACAGAAGACATTGATGCTTCGGTCTACCATAAACTAAGAACCCCCCGAAATTTTAACATCTAGAGTTATAATATTTATCTTTTGCTCACTTATCCATCATTTATTAACACAACTAAATGATCCGTCGATTAACATTTTGTTTTTTGTGTTATATCATGTTAACATGTTCTGAAAGAAACCAGCGATCTCTTGAGAAATAACAATCATTAACTTTGTTTTTATGTTCATTACGTTTAAAAATTCAATACAATTGATAAGTTTTAATTCAGTGTGTTGAAAAATAATACAATAAAGACAGAGAACTATAGTCATACGGTTAGTTGGCGTGTGTTATAGAAATTATGGAGTCTTCATTTAGTTTCATTTATGAAAACAAACAAACAACAACTACTTATATAAAATAAACTTCAGACCATATATATTGTGTTAGGCATAAAATATCAACTAGCTATAATTAGTTCTACATACTAGTGAATGTAAATTACGTACATTGATAGTGATCTGAAATTTATTTAAGCCTTTTTATTAAGTAGAACTGTGAGACAATGTATACACTTTAGCTTCTTATCTGTAATTTACACACTTTTCACGTGGTATAAAAATTTACTTACTCTGGACTATTAGATTTTGATCAAATGCTAATAATTATATTCAATGCTCTTTGATCGTTTATGTTTCATATGTATCCTTGAAATAAGCTCATCTTTCTTACAATTTTTTAAATTCTACTTTGGGTGAAGGTGATTAACCAATAGGATTTTATACAAAGTTTTAAAAATAGGTTGTATATTTTATTAGTGTCATGAGATTTTTCTTGTCAGTTAATGGACTGTATTGTTGAGCCCATCTTATCAGTATAAATATGTATGTAACATCGTGTTAATAGTCAATAGCTTGTAAATGAATGCTATACTTTTGAAGTATATGAAAGTACCTTGGATCAAAATGTAAAAAAATTTCAGTCCTATATGTTTTAACTGTTTCAGTAATCAGTAAATATGTTAACTATTTACAGACTAAAAGAAATATGTGTTTAGACTCAATGGCTTACCGAAGTTAATGAAGTTTTGTCTTAACAAGTATATTTATGTATCTTACATTCTAATATGATACACTCTTTAAGTATGGAATTTAATTGAAATTTACTGTGATGATCGTTCTAACACAAATATATTGATGAACATTATAACCAGTTTTGTCTATTCGTAACTGTTAAGAGCTTAAAAATATATTCGTTATTTTGGAAAAGACTAACAAAAATTACTATTAATATTAAAGAGTGAACAATAAAATATTTGAAACAGAGAGGGTTTTTTGGATATTATAGTAAATTAATAGTCCCATACTAGGATAAAACGGCCATCTAGTGCTTTCAGGTTTTTCATGGTGGTCTAGTTTCAATCGACTCATGAATTAAAATATTAAATTCATAAAATATTCATTTGAAGTGGGTTGAAGCGAAAACTAACAGACAATCCTTGAGATATTTTCAAACTTATTTGATTTTCAACAACTTTCACATGCAGTAAAATTGCCAAGTGAATAAGAGTTATGTCAAACTTGAAGTCAACACAGTTTGATCAATTAGTTCTAACGCGTGTTATACAAGTTCATTATTACCATAAATTATAAAATGAATTTCTATAGATATATAAATCCTCTATTTATATACTACTCAATTGATGGATTTATTTTATTTAATGGTTAAATTTTGTGAACATTGGATTTAGCAAGAATCTTTATGAATTCCTATTAATTAGTAAAGTTGATAATTTCAAATTACTTTTAGAATCTAAATTCTTTTATTGTTCAGAAGAGATTAGACAAATGTTTATATATTATATGACTTAAGGAATCATTTAAGTGACATAAATGATGCAAAATTTATTCTTTGTATATAGATTCATGTGACCGATAATAAGAAATGATTTAATATACGCATACTGAATGTTTTAGTGGGATTCAAACAGATTTTTCTCAATATTTGAGTATCAACTGCAAGACCAAAGACATTTTGTTTTTTGCTTCTGTTTTATTTTTTTCTATTAATATAATTGACTTTATTCAATATTATATTTTTGGTACAACACAGTATTTTTAGCAAAAGGTATTTCAGTAAGTTCACGTTTCTTAATTCTTCATCGGTTCTGATGATAAATACTGAGTGATCGCCAGTTAGATGTTAGCAGTTCAGAAAATCGGCATGTAAATAATGTATATTCTTTTCAATGCATATATACAACCATCACGAAGTCGATGATTGTACTCTTTTGTAAATTGTACAATAAAAGGTCGTAAACTTTTCATAAACGCACTTGAATAGGCTATGAAACTATTAAACATAGTGATTTGTTAAAACAAACAAGAAAACAGATAACTTGTTGAAATATCTAGATGAGAGGAACAGATACCCTAGATATTCAAGCAAGCCTTATCTGTTCCATTAAACATTAGGCTAAGTCTTATCAATTTTTAAATTAGCTGTACATGTGGGGCCCTTTAATTTTGTCGTCATTTAGATCGAACGATGTTGTCGAAAGAGCTCTCCACTTTAGTGGCCCGAGATCTGAATCCAAGGAGATCGTAATGATGATTGTTGTTGAAATATATATGTCTCCTGTTCTCGTATATAATCATCGACTTTAATCGCGTTAGTCAATAACGGGTTTAGATAAGTCAAATAACCAGAATGGACTTTTGAATACATATATTTTGTATATATCAAGCGAATGGAATAGAACGAAGCAAAACGACGAGCAGTGGAGATGGCGGGTAAGCCAACTCCCCTTTAACCAAACGTTAATCAATATTTATAGTTACACAAAAACAGGTTACAGAAATGTGATGAATGGGATA